TAGTAAGAATGACCGGATAAAAGTATTCAAACTAAGGGGAGGTACTGCACTTTTAGAGGGGTTAATGGCAATGTGTTATTTACTGTAAAAAATCTTTTAAATATAACCATTCACTATTTTTTTTTTTAACTTTTTATCGGTACCGGGGATTGAACTCACGACCGCCTGCTTGCAAGGCAGGTGCTTATGCCGCTGAGCTAAATCCCCAGCCCCGCATTCACTATTTTTGATTCCCCCTTTTTTGCATTACCATCTTAATAGTGTTAACAAGATATTAATAATTTTCAAATATCTCGTAAGAGAAAATTAAACTCTTTCAAGCTTTAAAGTTTAAAAAATTTTTAAACTTATCTGAATATTAAAAAAAATAATACCACTTACCTACAAAACACATTCTTAAAATCAACACCTATAGCTGCCACAGTTGGGGGGGGGGGTAGAAGAGTAGTTAGTCTGGACTGAAGCCGAGGCCTCAGGCATACTAGGCAAGCACACTGAGCTCATTCCAGCTCTGTTTTCACATTTGACTTTGAGACTAGGACTTGTTAAATTGCCCAAGCTGGACTTGAACTAGTGCTCTTTCTGCCTCAGCTTACTCAATAGCTGTTATTATAGGCTGCTACCACTTCTTATGTAAGACCTGTATTAGCAGGAAGTTGTGAAATGCAATAGATGATGCAGCTTCTGGTAATAATATGGTTTATAACTTTTTACAAAAGTCCCTAAAGAATTAGCATTCACTAACATAAGGTAGTAATGGGCTCTGGGAAAAGATTTCCACCAAATTCAAAAGCCACCTAATCTAACTCAATTTTACTATCAGCTCAAATAGGAATGTTTCACTTATTTCTTACAGGCAGTTTGCTAGGTAATTAAACAGAATAGGATAAAAGACAGCAAAACAAAAAATGGTTACCCAATTATTTGTCAACATAGTTTGGCCATTCTTTTCTACTTGGCATCCAAAAACAAATAAAAACACCCCAGGAAAATACTATTTTTACTTTACATTTGTTACTGCTTTCAATTACATAAAAGTTAAATACAGTTCAACTGCATAGACGTTATAATTCAATTAGAGGGCAATAAGATACACTAACACTGGTTAAATAATAGTTTGTTAAATGTTATTTTAAAAATTAAAACAATGGCAGCTTAAGTAATGGAGGCTAATGATGGAAGTAAACCATTTTTTGTCTAAATATTTTGCATGTATACGTGAGATCAGGGGTGGGGGGAGGAGGAAGAGGGAGAACACTGTACATTTAAAGCAAATCTAGAAGGAAATTCTTCCAGGGTGTCTAGATTTTTGACTATAGTCTGGTAATAATGCATGAAGTTTACTGTAATTAACTGCACATACATGGCTTTTCAGCAAGAAACTGCAAAATTTACATATTCTAGAAGGTGCTATTTAAGAATTAAGATTTTCTAACCAAGAGACGAAAGTCATTAAAATATAAGAAAAACAATAAGACAGTTGAGTAAGTAATGAACCTCATCCTAACTATTCAATGAGGACTTTATACATAACAAAAACTCTGGAAAAACTTTTAAATTCATCAAACACTGGTTTTTATACACCTCATCATTTAGCATTTTTGAATAGAAACTACTTCCTTAAATTTCATGTGAAACAGAAGATTATTCATAAAGACATAAACCGGAAGAGAGTTCAACATAAAATCTTATTTCAGAAACCTAATCATCTCTTTACAACAATACCTCAAGTATGTATTTTGTGGTTTGAGCCAAAATAAACTTTCTTTCTAAAATGTATTTTATGGAAATTAGTATAAAATTTTAATTAATCTGGGAGAGTCAATGCACATATCAAAAGGTACATGAATGGAAACTGAACTGTTTAGGTACTGCTAGGGGATAAGCTGGCTGGCTAAGGGTTACTGGTTCAATTCTACACCTCCTCTTTTTAAGAATCTGTTCCTCTGCTATCATAAAGTCAACTTTTAAATTCCTAATTTTCATGTAAGTTGTACTTTTAAGCATTACACACTAAATCTTTTCTTCCATTCTCCAATTCAGAATTTTATACTTCAGTGTACAATAAATGTTTGCACCTTTAACCTAGGAAGTCTGCTTTCTAAACACAGAAATAGTACCATTTTTGTCTCACATGTTGTTCAACTTTTTTACATGGTTTACATATGTAACAAGAGAAAGCAATGTTCTCGTGCTACTGTGGATTTCTTCAGTGACCAAAAAGAGTTATTTTTTAAATTGACTTCATTATAACATTTTATTGACTTAATGAATCATACCTCCATGGAATATACAATGGACCACGAGACTTTTGGCAAGTCATCAAACACACTGGGGACCTCCAGTGTGCTAGGCCTATGCTGCACTCTAAGTAACATGGAGACAGGGGAAGGTCCTGACCTGCCACAGATTCTGAAATCAGACCCTAACACCAGAGACACAGCTCAGTGGCAGAAGTGCCTGCCTGGAAGCACAATGTCTTGAATTTGATTCCCAGTACTTAAAAAAAAAAAAAAAAAGAAAGAAAGAAAGAAAAGAAAAGAGAAAACCCAAAAAACAAGTTTGAAATCAGACCCTGAAATCAGTGCCTGTAATCACTTATGAAATGGATATGGTTTTTATCCTACAGAAAGCAAAGATACCACTAAGGGATCAGAGAGCAGACGTGGCTGTCATGCAGTGAAGCCAGGACTTTGAATTGAGGTTTTTCTAACATCTAGTTCAATGCCCTTTCCTTCCGATCATTATTTATTTTAGAACACATGACTTTAAAAGGTAAATACACACAAATGGAGGCACTGAGGCCCCGTGCCACCTACATGTGGAAGGTAATTTTTATGTGTTGGTTGAGATTTCTCAAATATTAAGGCAGGCACTCATTCTTTCCAATGTGCAAAAGAGTTTTAACACATATCTGCTTTCCTTACCAGGTTAAGGGGCTTTATGTAATAACGTAACAACCCGCACATCCCATTAAAGGCAGTTAACTGGGCAGACTTCACCCATTTAAACCCTCTTAAGATTCTGCCTTTTCCCTATGTTTATAGCAGCACAATTTGTAATCGCCAGATCTTGGAAACAACCCAAGTGCCCATCAACTGAGGAATGGATAAAAAAGTTGTGGTATTTCTATACAATGGAGTATTATTCAGCTATAAAGAAGGATCACATTGAGATATTTATCAATAAATGGGCGCAGCTTGAGACCATACTCATAAGTGAAATAAATCAATCTCGCATGTGTGAATACCGAATAGTTTCCCTAATGTAAGTAATGATTCAAATATATAAAAATATGTGGTAATCATGATTCCCCATTAGGTGGCCTTGGAGCCTTATAAAGTTTTCACTCATTAATTAGAAAGGCTTTATTCTGGGCTTCTTGATTTGAAAATATTTGAAGCTAGAGTATATGAAGTTTTATCCAAATATTTCAAGGAAAAAGACACTATGGTAACTACTATTAAGTCAGGTTATATGGTGGTGAAGTACTAGGTTGTTGAAACAGTCATGCTGTGACCTCTATTGTTATATTGTTATGTCCTGTTTTATCTCAATCTCCCCCTTATTGTTTTAAAAAAATTATTTAGTCATTTCTTATGTTTGTCTTAATTAAAGAAAAAATTCAAAAAATTAGGATATATAAATAGTAACTCTTTTTGATTTCCTATTAACTTGTTTTGAAGTCCTGTAGTACTCCCACGATCTTGTTTTGACTGATTAGACTCTGTTCCATTCTATATGGTAGTATCAAGTTTGAAGACATAGGCAACTACTTTGAAGACAATAAGATTCACTAAAATACCCATTCTGGTTTGACTATTGTCTTCTTTGGAAGTCCTGTAATGTTTACAATGCCTAAGTTTTATTGGTCTTGTTCTCTACTGTTTTGTCCAACTTTATAATATCTAATGAGATAGACAATTCTTTTTAAGGAAACAAGGGACAACGTTGATAACCATTGTTGATAAACTTGTACTCTGTTCTACATCATGTGCTATGTCTATCCTTGGTATTGACTGACAGCTTTGTTTTGCCATATTTGACTGTATTCTTCCCCCCCCCCCAAAAAAAAGTAATAAGCACTAAGGAGTAATGAAATCCAAAGTGTGTGAATTTTGTTGTAAAAAAGAGAGGGAAAAAAAAAAAAAAGAAAAAGAGCTCTAACGGATATAACAGCAAGTGTGTTTAGGGGTGTTAAATAGCTGACTGTATCAATGTTTTTGGATCATTGAACACAGCTGTTTGCAGTCTAAAAAAAAAAAAAAAGATTCTGCCTTTTCCAGCCAGTCCATGATTTTCCTTCTGATTTCTTTCCCTTTATCCTCTGTAGAGCCAGGCCTGGTGTACTTTCTTCTTCCTCTTCTGTAAAACTGGCCCTTTACTTTTCTCTCTGACCCTGTGTAACATTTTCTTTTTTATTTTAAGAATTTAGCCTGAAAGGGAAAACCATATATGACTACTGACTGAGATAATAAAATTGAAAGCTTCCTTTTCTGTACTTACAAATGATTCACTACGTGAGTTATTAAGGTAAGAAAGAATCAAAATTAAGTATAATGCAAATATATGTAAATTTGGAGTATTTTTCATAATCGACACAAAAGCATTATAAGAACCTTTGTACTTTTAGAGGTAGGATAGCTGCTATATGTTATCATATAGTTTAAAGAAGGTCAAATCAGATGTCTTATAAGAAATGCAAATTAATACCGTGGGACTTAATCTTTATGACAACTATTAAGTTAACATGCAAGAGTCAACAACTAAATTAGCCCTTAATATAGAGCAGGCAACTCATCAAAATTACCTGATATGGAAAAAATATAAAAGAAACTGCTTGATTCTATCTATAGGATCATTTGAAGGCACAGATCTCTTAACCTATGCAGACTTCTTGACAAGAGAGACAAGTGTTCTGGAACCTCTCATACATAAGACTAGAAGAACCTGAAAATCTTAACACAACAGGATATATACGTGTGTGTGTGTTTGCTCACCTTTCCATCAAAGCGTTTTATAATATACTGATCCAGGCCCAAATCTGTAAAAAATAAATAAATAAATAAATAAATAAGTAAGTAAATTTATTTAGTCCCTGGTAACTCAAATGAAACATAAAAATAACAGCTCAATTTTGCTTCCAATCATTCAAATTAAATGTCAACATCTACACAAGCCAGGCGTACTAGTGCACACCTGCAATCAGCACTTGGGAGGCTGAAGCAGGATGACTGCCATGAATTCAAGGCCAGCCTGGGCTCTATAGTGAATTCAAGGCCAGCCTGAACTACACGGCAAGACCACATCTTTAAAAAAAAAAAAATCAGCAAAAAGAAATGTTTTGCCCCACTTATAGATTTCAAGTATTAGTGCTAAAAAGAAAATACTCTTTTACTTTATGTTTCAAAAACATGAAACTCTGTAAAGGTAACAGTTTTATGTGCAAGCCTATTAAACAATAGAGCCAAACTAGATCTCTAGACCCCCCAGGCTGGTATTTTCTCATTAAATCACCTTAGTTAAAGGAAAAGATACTAGTTTAATCTGAATGTAAATTTTTTATATCAAGTTAAAGAGTTCAATATCAAAAGAAATGTGGCAACCAACCCAAAAGGCACAAAATGCCAATCTTACTATTATACCCCCACCCAAGGGTGCTCTACGACTGAACCGCATCCTCAGCCCGTTTTATTCATCTGTTTGAGACAGGCTCTTGCACCTTGTCCAGGATACCCTCACATTTGTGATCCACCTCCCTCAGCTTTCCAAGTAGCTGGGATTACAGCTGTGTGCCATGGTACACTGCCTAATTCTACCTTTACTCTGGAACACCTCATTTTGAATTCTAAGCTCTTTGAAAGATACAAGTAAACATATTAAGTGCCCTTGAGGGCAGGGACCTTTTGTCCTTGTACACTATTTTATCTCCAGCATGTGAACAGCACTTGATCAATAAATATATGCAAAAGAATGAACAGCATACAGTTCTTGTCTTAAAGAGTCACAATTCTGTTAGAAATATGTAAGGATATAACAATTAACATTATAGGGTAGCAGACATTTGACTCAAGAGGATGTGGAAGTTTTGAGAGTGAAGAAATAAGCTCCCAAATATAATTACTTTTCTTGCATAATTACTCGGTTCTTTGTTTCAGTTCTGACTGTATTCATATGAGCTCAAGTGTAAGTATAGGGCCCACAGTGTTACCATAATCAGATTTGATCTGCTCCCAGAAGAACCTATTTGTATCTCCACTTCTAAGTGTTTAGTTATACATTCTATGTATTTTAAAGGTGCTTCATTTTCTAGAATCTTGCCCTGAATGCACTGAACCACTGACTATAAAATGAAACATATAATTTAGGAAACTAAAGGGAATTTTAGAAACAATTCAAATTTTAAACTCTGAAAAGATACCAATCAAAAGAAATCGTTATATTTAATTAAAATACATTACTTATTCTTCTCTATTTTTCACCATATAATCAAAAGATGGGATAAGGTAACCTTCCAGACTACTGACAAAAAGACATCAAGATGGAAAATTAGAAACGTAAGAGAAAATGATAGAAAACAAAGAGAATTCAAAAGGTTTTAATACCTTCAATACCTTTACCTATTCACAAATAGGGAAGAAACAATCCAAAAAATATTAACAAAAGCTCTCAGAACTAGAGACAAACTCAAAGGCCTTACCAAGTGTTCTAAACAGGATGAACACAAACCTACCTACATTAAGAGTATGCTCAGGAAATTTAGGAATACCAAGGAGAAGAAATTCCCAAAAATTTCAAGGAAATAATAACTTTCTACATTCTTAAAAAGGAATAAGCATTAGCCTAGACTCAGATGTCTCATGAGTGAAACTTGATTCATCTATGATAGGTGATACGTTGTATACGCTAACAAGCAGCACTGCCCAACAGAAACAAAGATGAACAACAAATATAAGTCATATACAACTAAGATTCTAAGAGTTACCTTTAAAAAGAAAAGAAACATTAATTTTATTTATTTTTATTTTAAAGAGAATGGAACAAAACAAAGCAGATTAGAACACAGCAATACAAGCAACACAGGATTTCAAAATAAGACAATAGGAAATCAACACTGGCTACCATAACGTCTCTTAAGAAACAAATTAATTTTAGTATTTTATATTACTGAATATATCTAAAATAGCTTCATATCAAGTAGTAATCAAGAGAAAATATAAATTAGATGCTATATATTTTTTGTAGTAAGTTTTCAAAATGTCACATTTTAAGGGGCCTGGGGATTTAGCTCAGTGGCGTAAGTGCCTGCCTTGCAAGCAGGCAGTCGGTACCGATAAAAAAGAAAAAGACAAAAAAAAAAAAAAAAATCAGCAAAATGTCACATTTTAAGTATAAATAGCTAGAAGCTATAATACTAAATAGCACAGACTTTATTTACTTATTTATTGGCAGTACATACTGGGGGTTCAACTGAGATGCTTTACCACTGAGACACCTCCCCATCCCATTTGATTATTCATTTTGAGATAGGATTTCACTGAGCTCCCCAGAAGAGTCTCAAATTCTACTGCCTCAGCCTCCCTCAATGCTGGGATTACAGGTTTACACCACTGTGTCCAGCTGTAAATGGCACAGATTTTAAATTATATGGTTAATACAGTACCTAGAAGAAATAGAAATGTCAAGTTTAAAGTTTAGGTCATTGTTTCTGTGAAATGGTCTGGGGGGATGAAAAGATGAGTTTTATGCTTCCCCTTTTATACTCTTTGTTATAGTTTAGGAAATGTTCTACCATGTGCGTTTTAAAATCATAGGGAGCTATGTAAGGACAAGTTGGCTCTTACGGAGAATTCTTATTTATAAGCAAACACTGACATACAGTGAGCCAAGAGTTTACTAATTTTAAGTTTGAAGAAATTATTTCACCTTAAAATTTTTACTTCTTGACCTGCCAAATGAAAAGGATAATTGAATTAGATCAATTTTGTTTTGTTTTGTATTTTTTCTTTTTCTTTTTCTTTTCTTTTTTATTTTTTTGCTGGGACTACACTGGAGACCCAAACCAGAGCCTTGCACATGTTAGGCAAGTATTCAACCACTGAGCTACATCTCCAGTTCTTTTTAAATTTTGAGACAGAGTCTCACTAAATTGCCTAGGCTGGCTTGGAATTTGCAATCCTCCTGCCTCAGCTCCTGAGTACTAAGATTACAGCTGTCTGTTACCAGACTCAGTTTAGATCAGTTGTTTATGGTTAGAGTTTGAGAACATGGAAGGATGGTGTAATATAAGCTTCCTACTACTCTATCACCCCTAATTATTCACATTAGGGGAGAATATAGAGCATAAAATAAAAATCAGTATGTATAGTTTGAAAACTCAGCTGCCTTCCAGTGACATAGTTCACCTTTCATTTCTTATACCCAAAATCTTTCCTCCAGCTTAGAAACAATGGACACTATATTGTTTTTGCTTAGATGCTTCTTATGACCCTTAGGCTTTTCTCTAAAGAAAAGCCATTTAATAGTAATAGTATATAGTAAATACTATCTTCCTCTTTTTGTTAATGAGGAAGCTGAGGCTGGGAATAGTTGAATAATTATTTTCTGAGTAAGTCTAACAATTTTTAAATTATGGCAGTTACCTCAAATCCCATCTAAAATAAGTGAAAAGTACAGACATTCTTAAAACAACAGTCTTAGGCGTGGTGTTACACACCTGTAATTCAGCACTGGGGAGGCTGAGGTAGGAGAACTGTTGAGTTTAGAGGCCACCTGTCTCAAGAAGACAAAAAACAAAAAACAAAAACCAACCAAACAAACAAAAAACCCACCATCAATCTCACTTTAAGTATCAGCATAAACATTTAAAAGGAGAACTTGTTTCAAAGATGTTAGGAACTGATTTTATGCAGATCATTTTGCCTAAGGACAAAACAGCAAACTGATCAAATGTTTTACTTCAAGATCTATAAAGTATAGAATTTCAGTAAAAGGAAAGTGAGCTACCTCTCAAAAATTTAGATTCATGTTCCAGTTTAGCACTTGAATTTACCCTATACATTTATTAAAATGTTGTTTTTCAGCAACTTAAGCTAACATAAACTGGCAAGAGAAAGTATAATTCTAGTCCAGATGAAATAGTATAGTCACTTGGTTTTATCTTGTCCTAATAATCACTATAATAAATTACTATTTTATTTATTTATTTTTTGTGATACTGGGATTGAACTCAGAGCCTTGTGCATGCTAGGCAAGCACTCTACCACTGAGCTACATCCCCAGCCCTAATCACTCTAATAAATTACTATTTATTAAGCATTTGTTGTAGGCCCTGTAATAGCTGATATAAATATTTTGCAATTTTCATGACCATATTAGTTGTTATTATCATCTCAACTTTACAAATGAAAAAATTAAAATTTGGAGATAAATAATTTGTCTAAAATCACGTATCTGTATTTCTACTTTCTTCTAATCATTTTCATTTATTCTTGCCCACTTCTGATTGAATTCATCATTAGTGTTCCTACCCCTAAAATATTAATCTTAAAAGTTCTTTCTTGGATTCCATTTCTTTTCATTGTATCATTTGCCTCAGGAACTTCATTATAGATTTATGATTTGCCGCAGACCCAGAACAACAGGATAAACTAAATTAGAAATACAAAAGAAAAAAGTCAAATTGGTAGAGGGAAGAAGGTTGCCAACAATAAAATTTTGGAGTATCCAGTTTGAAATGCTTAATGAAAAGAACCTCAACTCAGAATTCTTTATTTCAGTAAAAATATACTTGAAGAATGAAAATAAAACATTCTAAAATGAGGAAAATTTAGAGAATTAATCACTCAGAGTCCTGCTCTAGGACATTTTATTCTTTAGAGAGGAAATAAGAGCAAAGGAAACTTGGCACTTAAGGAATAATGAAAGAACAAGAGAAATGGCTAGTATCTGTATCTATATATAAAATATACTGCCTTCTCCTCCTGTTTGTTCTATAAACAATATCTGGTAGGGTTTTCAAGTCATATGGATGCAATGCAAACA